GCTCTGGTGGGGGTGTCATCACAGCACCTCCCACGGCCACAGCTTACGGTGGCGGTAAAACTATGCGACACCCGAAGCCGGGCAGTCTGACGCGTTCAAGATTTGGGGTGTCTGTGAGAGTCCCACAGGGTGGTCGGAGCAGAGTCATCTGCCCACAGGTCCCTGCGGCTGCCCGGACCCCTCTCTTCTCAGGCCGCCTCCCTTCCCCGTGACCACAGCAAGCCACGCAGAGGCCAGCGCTCGCTACTGCGCCCGGTCTGCCCCCACTTCCATCGCAGGCGCTCCCTTCTTCCAGACCCTCCTCAAGGCTCCTGCGAGCAGCAGTCCACTCTCACCTCCAAACCTAATCCCCAACTCCAGAGGGACCGGCCAGGAAGCCTTTCGCCCCCTCCGCGCCCCTCCAGCGACTCCACGCCGCCTCTGGCGGCGACCACCGAAGAACGGAGAGGCGGGGTGTGCCTGCTTCGGGAGTGGGGCGCAGAGAGGCCACCTGCCCCAGCACAGCTACGGCCACTTGACGCTTCGCCCCCCCTGCCGGCTGCTCTCTCCCCAGGCTCGGGCACCTGCAGCCCGCTGCTGCCCTGCACACTCCGCTCCTCCCAGGCCTGTCTCCTCGGCGCCGTCGGCGGCTCTCCCTCCGAAGCCTGCGCCGGGCCACCGCACAGCCGGGAGGGCGCTTCCGTCGGGCACCTCCAACTTTCGCGCACTCGGCATCTGCAGGCCGCCTCTCCCGGCCACACCCCGACCTCCGGGAGCACGGACACAAGGTCTGGCCCCCTAGGCTTTGGGAAAGAGAACAGGAGGCCCCGGCACCGGGGCTGGGCTGGGGTGCCGCCAGCTCAGAGAACACCGACATCGGCCGAGACCGCCCGGCGGCCACGACGCGGTGGGACCAAACCGCGAGACCACCCGCTAACCCTGCATAGTCGCCGGGGAGGCCGGGGTCGCCGCGCAGAGCGCGCGCGGCCCCACGCGGCCCCACCCCCACCCAGCCCTGGGCCGACGGCCGCTCCCAGCCTCGCTCCAGCCGTGCTCCCTCCGCGTAAGACGGAGTTCAGGCCCACCCTCCTCCCCACGTCGCCGAGCACAGGCTCAAGCCCAGCCTGTCAGCCGTCGCGCTCCCCGGCGGCGACGTCCCGGCCCCGAGGTGGACTTGGCAGCGAGGCGGGGAGCCCCGGCGCGCGGGCTGGAGGGCGCCACGGACTCGCCCGGCCGCCGCCTTCCCTCGCCCGCCCCGGGCCTCCTCACCTCGTCCAGGTCCACGTAGGGCCCGGCGCCCTCCGGGAACATCTCGTCTACTGCCGGCTTCATCTCGCCTGCGGGGCCTCCCGCCTCCCCGGCCCACTTCCGGCCCGCCTGACGCCTCTTCCGGTGCGCGCTCGGCCGTGGCGTGTCTAGACGCCGGAGGACCTCCGACTCTATGGTTCCCCTGGCACTTGGGGTCGGGCGGGTCCCGGTCTCCCGCCAGCCCGTGAGCGCTCCGGGGAAGCTGCGCAGGGACTCGGGGGTGCCTGGCGGCCACAGACAGTTCAGCCCGAAAGGCCTGGCACGCAGGGGGGCCCAAGAGATGCCCGTTACAGAATGTGCGTGGGCAGAAAGAGCCTGGGGGTAGCCGCAGCGGCGGGGTGGGGCGCAGGCCATATAGGGGAGCGGGATGAGGAGGCACAGACTTCCAGCTATAAAGTGAATGTCTCTGGAAAAAAGATAATGAAATAGTCTGGAGGATGAAGAGTACAGCCTGCAGACTGTAGCCGATGACACTGTAATAACTTTGTACCGGGACAGATTGTGTGCAATTGTTAAATCACTGTGTTGTACTCCGGAAACTAATATGATAGCGTAGGTCAACTGTACTTTACAAAAAAGAATGTGAATGGTCCACGGAGTAAAAAGGCAACCCACAGAATGGGAGGAGATATTTGCAAATTACACGCATATGTGGATATCTATATATACACACATATACACACTCACTAAAGGGTTAATATCCAGAATTTAGAGAGAACTCCTAAAACTCAACAACAATAAATCCCAATCCAAACGCAGTGACTTGAATACACCTTTCTCTGGAGTAGATATACGAATGGCCAAGAGGCACATGAAAACATGCTCAACACCACTAAGCATTAGGGAAATGCAAATCAAAACCACCTCACACCCCTTAGAACGGGTGCTATATAAAAACCCAGAGGGAGTGGAAGCGGGGTCTTCATGAGATATTTGCACCCCTGTGTTCAGAGCACTGTTATCCCCAAGAGCTAAAGTGTAGAAGCAGCCATGTTAATGGACAGCTGAATGGATGAGCGAGATGTGTTCTATAGGTACATAAAAGGGAACACTATCCAGCCGCAAAAGGAGGGTAATTCTGACAGATGCTACAACATGGATGAAGCGTGAGGACTTTATGCTGAGTGAAATGAGCTGTCACACACATCCTGTATGACCCCGCTGACATGGGGTCCCTACAGTGGTCAGATTCACAGAGACAGCAGAAGGGCGGGCGCCAGGGGCTGGGGACCGATGGGGAGTCTGTGTTTCATGGGGAAGGAGATTCAGTTGGGGAAGATGAGAAAGTTCTAGGGGTGACGGCTGCACAACAGTGTGAATGTGCTTGGTGCCACTTAGAAATAGTTACAGCAGTAGGGCGCCTGGGTGGCTCAGTCGTTAAGCGTCTGCCTTCGGCTCAGGTCATGATCCCAGGGTCCTGGGATCGAGTCCCACATCGGGCTCCCTGCTCGGCGGGAAGCCTGCTTCTCCCTCTTCCACATCCCCTGCTTGTGTTCCTTCTCTCGCTGTCTCTCTCTCTGTCAAATAAATAAATAAAATCTTTAAAAAAAAAAAAATAGTTACAGCAGTAAATTTTATGTTATATGTATTTTATCATAATTTTTTACAAGAATGTGAATGAGAGAAGGGGATAGGAGGGAGGGAGAAGGAAGGAAAGGGGGGAGGGAGGGAGAGCATGAGATACTTGAGCTAGACTTCTTGAAGTAGGTAGGCTTGGGGGCTGGGCTGTGAGCAAAGTAGAGGTGGGGGGTCAGGGCAGGAAGACAGGGAATGAGCCCAGACTGAGGGGGACAGTGACCCACGTGGGCAGTGCAGGGCTCAGGGAGAGGGGAGGAGAGGCTGGGGGTGTGGGTGAGCCTCAGGTGTCACGGTGACATGAATCACCTTGAAGTACCCGAGCGAAAGTCAGACCAGGGAAGCCACGACTCTGTGGCCACCAACAGGCTTCTCTTCTGAGTGGTTTCAAATCACGGGAGCCCCATTCCCAGCCACCGTGGCAGGAATGAGAAGGCAGTGGCCATAGGTGGTGCTTGCTCCTCGTGAGGAGCTCAGTGGTGCAGCGTTGGGGGTGAGGGGCTGAGGGCACGGGGCAGGAAGTGGAGGGTCCCCCACGAGGTCTGCCTGCGGTGGGGGGAGTCAGGAGGGGGTGCACAGAGGAGAACTGAGCCTGTTGGGTGCTGAGGTGAGCAGGGAGGGCCGCAGCCAGGTCTGAGTCCTGACCAGGAGTGGAATGCCCCAGGGGCTGCGAGCTCAGCAGGTAGGGGGTTGGCCGAGGGTGGCCCCGGCTGGGGGTTCTTCCTCTGAGAAGAGAAGGACAGAAGTGAGGCCTTTTAAGAACGTAAATGCAGCTGGGTGTCCCCGGGGCAGCTGTGGGCTGCTGATGCCTGAGCCCGAGGAAGGGGTCTGGCCGGGGCACCACGTGCTCCTCCCCAGAACGAGCCTGGATTTTGCTCCTCCCCAGCAGCCTGCGGAGAGGGGGTACAGCCATGGTTCTTTAATGTGCGCCCTAACGGGCAGCGTGACAGTCCGAGGGGAACATGACCGTGCACACACTCGAATTGACGTGCTAGTGAACAACATGGAAATCCCGCTGTAAAGCGTGTCTGTTGTCTGGTATGTTTGGCCGAGTCCAGCTGTCCCCAGTGGGAACTTGAAGACCCACCCTCTCGCCTGGCTATCCTGTGAATCCGGACTTTTGTGCTGTTGAGGTTAGTTTAGAGAAGCCAAATTCACACTAGCTCAAGGTGGGGAAAGAAAGAGATGAAGAAGGTAGTGGCTTTTCCTAGAGCCACCGGCCAGGCCTCCTCTGCAGAATGTCCCCTGGGGCACCAGCAGTGGTGGCAGGAAGCGTGGCTGGAGTGGGAGGGACAACCACGGGAGGCCATCCTGCTGTCCTGGGCACCTCCCACCCTCCAGCACCCTCCCCACCCGGCTGGGTGGCTGTGCCCTGGCCTAGGAGAGTTTCCTCCCCACCTATATTTAAATACTCAGTGTTTCCCATTATTTTATTTCAAAAGAGAAGCTGGCTATAGCCCATTAGAGCAATTTCCTCTCATCCGGTGGAAGGTGACCAGCAGGGTCTGGGGCTTGTAAGCTTGTACGCTTGCCTGTGGGGGGGGGCTCACCGCCTGCGCAGTAGCCGGCCCAGTGCCACAGGATGGTCCCAGAGACACTGTGCACATGGCCTGCCGGGCCTTTCCTCCCTCCAGAGCACCCAGGGGAGGTAGCCCCATTCCCCCCACAGGCCCTGAGCCTGCCATGCTGGCACCCAGGTTTCAGGGGCCCTCCCCTTACAGACAGAGAGCACCCAGGCCCTGGCCGTTCCTCACAGGCTAGGTTCCTGCTGCGCTGGTGTGAACGGCCCTCAGGAGTACACTGCAGGGAGCGGGGACGGGCAGGGCCCCCAGCCCAGGGGTGGCTGCTGGGGGTCCGGCTGCTGCTGGCCTCCGTGGCTGAGGGCAGGGGCTTTGGGGTGTGGCTGCCTGGATCTGGGTCCCGTCAATAAGCCAGGCAGTGTCCTGGTGTCTGTTTGCTTCAGTTTCCCCCCTGCACTCCGGGGCACCTACAGCATCCCCCTCCCCGAGGGGCTGTGAGCTTAGGTAAGAGGGTGACACGTACGGCAGGTCCTGAGTGAGAGTTGTGGTTCATTTGTCAAATAAGAAAGGAAACGTGGCCTGACTGGGGCTTTCTTGAAAGAAAACCAGAAGCATTTGTGCGTCTTAAGTCAGGAATTTATTGAGCATGAGGCTAGGGATCCAGGCTGGTGCTCAGTCCTGCTGGTAGGGGACATGGAAGCCCAGCGTGGTCCCCAGGGGGAAGTGAGCGAAGAAGGTGCGGGCCATATCCTCAAGTTGGGGGTAGGCCCCCAGGGTCTGGAAGTACTGCACGTAGTTCCAGAAGTCAGAGGTGGAGAAAGGCCAGTAGGGCATGGCAGGCAGCTCTACATAGGGGTCTGAAAGACACAGCCGCCGGCCTCAGGCGCTGTCCCCACCGGTCCTGCCCTGAAGCTGCTCCTCCGTGACGCCGCCGGGCAGGTGGATGGTGCCTAGCAGTGCAGCGGCTGCGGGCAGTGAAGGGGCCCTCCCAGCTGGGAGCCGGGACCCGGGACACCCCTGGTCCTCCGTGGAGGTATCCCGGAGCCTTGTCATCTGGGTGATGTCCCTCTCGGGACTCCTGTCTGGGGGAACAGCTCAGGGAGAGGAGAGGGGGGAGAGGGAGAGGCCAGGGAGGGGGAAATCTGGCCCCTGTCATGGAGATGCTGGGCAGGGAGGGTGTGGGGGCATCCTGGTGGGATTTCAGAGGAGACCACAGCCCCCAGCCCCGAGTCCAGACGCCACTACACTGAGGTAGGACTCGGGTAGGAGGGCCGTGGGGTGAGTCCAGGCTGAGGGTGAGAATGCCAAACCTCAGGGGCTCAGAGAGTCCCTCTTGCCCTGTGTGTCCCCAGGTGGCTGGAGGTCAGGGCCCAGGGAAGAGGGTCGTGTCCCTCTGCTTGCATAGCTTGTCCTTGAGCTGACCCAGGGTTCCTGCTTCATTTGCTCAGGATAAGAAGCCAGCTCCCACCCGGCTCCCTCTTCCGACCTCATGCCACCCAAACACACAAGAAAAGAACAAGAGGGCAATACAGTACCTCCCTCCTCCTCCTCCTGCACTGGCTTGGCTCCTGCAGAGGAAGAGGAGGGCAGTCATTCCGGAGAGCCCCTCAGGGCAGGCTCCCCCCCACACACACAGCCCCACACACCAGCTGCCTAAGTGGCCAGGGAGACAGCAGGAGGGACAGAGCCGCCACTCACCCACCAGAGGTCCCAGCAGGACGCAGAGGACCAGCCCTCGCACCAAGCAGGCCTTCATCTCCCCCAGGCAGGCCCTCCACCAGCTGACGAAGCTCCAGTCCACCTGCAGCAGGAGGGACCCAGGGGGTGGGACGAGCCCCCCATCAGGGCCCCAGCCTCTTCCCACCACCCCCACCCCCGGCAACTCCCTGGAAAACAGCTCTGGTAACCAGACAAGCTCCCAGGGTTTTCATAGCAGTTTCCGTTTCACCTGTCAGCTGGCCGTTCCTAATTGGAGGTGGCGACCCTGCGTCTGCCCCTCTGGAGGTTGCCTCCCACTCCGGGTGCTCAGCCGGTGCAGCCGGGATGGGCCTCTGCTGCCAGCCTGCAGGCTCCTCTTTATAAAAGGCTGGGAGCAAGGAGGCGGACGTCACCTTCCCAGCCGTCAAACTGAATATTTTATCCCCAGTCTGAGGACTGAGGGCTTCTTGCCGGCAGCAGGACCTTGAACGTCCACTTGTGGGAATCTGATCCAAGGAGCAAACTGGGAGGAAAACACCTCTGCACAGGCCACGACTGGGATTTTTAGGACTGAATTCAACACCAGTGCTCAAAATAAACACAAATTCCTCTGCACCGGGAGAGAAAGACATTCTAAGTCTGACATTGGGGCGGAGATGCCCCCTTCCAGGAACAAGGTAATTGCAGAGCTGCCTCTGGGGGGCCCTCAGGGAGCCACAAGCAGCCACAGATCAGCACCCCTGGGGACAGGACACCGTTGGGCAGAGGCCATGCAGGAAGTGTGGGTACCCAGCCCCACCGCACACCTGCAGACCAGAGCTTCCCTGCTTGTGTGCAGTGATTAAGCGTGTCGTCGGGAAGGCAGCCGTCCCAGCCGCAGGGACGCCATGGATGACACCTTAGGGGCTCTGTGGGTCAGCTCTGATTAAACCTCAGGGCTGCAGCTGAAGATGGCAGCCACGCCTCGTGGCCCTACCCACTGAACCCAGCTGCGGTGCTGTGCTGAGTGGCAGAGAGCAGGTCAAATAACACATACCTGGTCTCCCCAAGCCTTTGGGCACCTGCCTGGACCAGGGACCAAAAAGGCTGGCATCTCAGCCTCGTGCATGGGCAAGTTTTGCACAAACACAAATGGTTAGAGCCACTCCCCGTCACTCTGCGAATCCAGAGTCTCTGCCAAGTGGGCCCAGGCCAGCACTTAGTACCATCTCCACCTGAGCCACCCCAGTATGTTCCCTGGGTTTCGGGTGACACCAGTGGTCATATGTGGAGCCTCCCAGGGCACACTGCATGCCTCACCTTCTCAGTCACAGCTGCGCCTCAAGGTCTGGTCACAGACTTGGAAACAGAGTCACGGGTGGGGGTCGGGTCCCGAGGAGAATCAGCAGCCCCCCACAGACAACTACTCTGGGGGGACTACAGGTTCTCCAGGAAGGGAGACTATCCCACCAGAGGGGGAGGAAGGGCGCTTCCTGGAGAATTTAGGGGCTCAGGTCCCCACCTTCTTCAGAATCTCCCCACATGTCCCCATCCAAGTGACGAGACCCCTTCTTGCCCAACAATACCCTACCCTTCATAAAAAATGGCTCAAGAGCCCAGAAACTCAAATTGCCTTGTGATGCAACCACCCACCAGATTAGACCTTGGGTTTTATTTTCAGAAATCTGGACTCTGTGCCTGCAATAGATAACGAATTCTTTTAGGGCAGTTGTGTCAGGGTCCCTGGGACCACCCGGCCCGGTGACTCTCTAGGGCCCCCCCAGACTCAGCAGAGGCCGTGCCCCCAGCTGGGATTCACAACAGAGAAATGGTGCAACGCACAGGAAAGGAGAAGTCGGGGGACCAGGGCTGAGCTTCCGGGGCCCCTCCCCCTGGAGTTACACAGGCCACCACCAGGCGTGACGACATGTGAGGTGCTGTCTTCAGGGGAGCCCGGGAGAGACGCAGCGTCCAGGGTTTTTATCGGGGGCTGGGCCCGGGGCACCCCTGCCTGCTGTTGATTCGGGGCACCCAGGAGGAAGCAGGTGCTCAGCATGAACCACGCTGCACAGAGGTGTGGGGGCAGCGAGGTCCTCTCATCCATGAGGGTGCCGGGAACTGTCCCTGGAACTCCCGCCAAGGGCCACCCAGGAGGGCAGTGGCGCCTCCTTGTTGACCTTCTTCTGCACAACACAGATTTCTGGTTCTTTATCTGCTCCCTGAGCTGGGAATTTTAAGCTCTGCACTCATAATTTTCTTCACTTTCCGGCACACTTAGAAACTACCAACAAATCCCACAGCCCTTACTGTTTATTTCCACTGAGTGGTCTGTGGCATCAGCCGCCTGGTCACCTGGAGCCTGGCCTTCTGCAGCCCCTTGGCTCCATGGACTGCACGGCAGGCCGGAGACCCAATTCCTGAGTCCATCCTAAACCGCACCCCCTGGGCCCACTTCTGGCTCCAGCATTCTGCCCAACACGGCCCCTGGGGGTGCTGGGGGACCCGGGGCTATTGTAGAGCTGGACCTGATACAGCGTGGGGGGCTGAGGACATGAAGGTCGAGTGGGAAACACCCTGCCCTCCACGTGGCCCGCGTGTCTGTGGCAGCTGAGACCACCGTGTTCGGCGGCAGCCTTGCAGAGCTGGACAGCGCATGGACGGCACTGAGGACCTGCCGGACGGACCTGCTGCTGTCCATCTCCACACCAGAGGGCAATGGCTCATTGTCCATCACCTACAGCTCCGGGTCCGAAGATGATGTGCAATTAATCATTCCTATAATGTTAGAAAAAAGGAAATAAAATCACATGTACTGTATCTTTATAATTATTTTCTTAATAATAAAAAAATACCTACGTAGACTAAACATCTGCCTTCGGCTGAGGTCATGATCCTAAGGGTCCTGGGATTGAGTCCCGTGTAGGGCTCTCTGCTCAGCAGGGAGCCTGCTTCTCCCTCTCCCTCTGTGCTCTCTTCCTCTCCCTCTGTGCTCTCTCTCTCAAATAAATAAATAACATCTAGAAAAAAAAAAAACTACCTAGAAAAAATCTACAAGTAATGAGCAGGGATGGTGTTGGGTGGCAGAGCTATGGGTGTGTTTTCTTTCTTCTTATTGGATATACATATTTTCCTTAATTTATTACTTTTATGAAGGGGGGAAACTTTGAAAACCACCACCAAAACTCTGTGTTACTTAGCATCCTGATCCACTGTCCTGGGTCAACCACTCAGGTCCTCCACAACCACATTGCCACCCCCATGTCCACCCCCACACCTTTTCTCTCTTCCCGAGTACTTCAAGCCACTCTCCCTTGCTGGCCTGTACACAGACCTTCCCTGGACCCACCTGGAGAACCCCACCTGGAGGGCCCCACCTGGAGGATCCCACCTGGAGGGCCCCACCTGGAGGATTCCACCTGGAGAACCCCACCTGGAGGGCCCCACCTGGAGGATCCCACCTGGAGGGCCCCACCTGGAGGGCCCCACCTGGAGGACTCCACCTGGAGA